TTTGTGAATTCCGTTAGGTTTTCTACGGAGACAATCATGTTGCCTGGGAACAGAGAGGAGGAGGTGTAACAGACCATGGGGGGCTGGGCTCACCTGGCAGGCTTCCAGGAGGTGATGACGAGAGGAAGTGAAGCTGCTGCTGCAGGCCCGAGGCTCCCTCCTCAGCCCCCCCTCGGTGCAGCCGGAAGCTGGCATCGCTTCGGGTCCACCCCCTGATGCAAACGGGGGGAGATTTCATTTGGAACCAGTCAGGTGCCCAGAAAGGCAGAGCCCGAGACACTTGCGTCGCTGTCTGAGGAGAGCAGAGGTGGGTGGCCCAGGAGCCAGCAGGTGCGGGCTGGGCGCTGGTGATGCGGCACCTGCCTGGTCATCATGCGTGCAGCTGGGTCTGCTGGGTGACTCCTCCTGGGGTCTGCTTCCGTTCTCCCAAGCATTCTGGAAGCCACCTAGCCGCCTGGGATAAACCCCTTTCTACTGCAGCTCCCTCACGGTTCTAGGATCCGGGGCAAGCACTGGCCTGGGTGTGGCAGCCCAGCAGCCCTAATAATTGGGCAGGAAGGGATGGATCGGGGCCCCTGTGGGCTGCGTGGGAGGAATTCTAGGTTGTCAGGCCTGGCAGGAATCTAGCATCCCCACTTTGCAGCGGAAAAAAGTAGATGAAAGACGACATTTAGAATTACGGGAGCCACATCTTAAACCCCAGGACCAGCTTCTGGTACATACGGGGCACTTGTGCCCAGAATGGTGTTGCAGAGGAACTGAGTGGAACCTTTTGATCCATAATTGGAGACTCCCCTTCAAGCCCATGTGCGCTGGGCCATGCCCCGGCGTGAGAATCACCGCGAGGCCAGCAAGAAGCAGCAGGTGCTGGAGCCTGGCGGGGAGCGGCCATCGAGAAAAGGCTCGTGACTGTTTTACCCTGGGTCAAACTAATGGAAAAGCAGCCTTCCCAAGGACCAAATTTATGCTGATCGATAAAGTGCTTCGCCAATTACGGCAGCGAGAGGCTGTTTAATTGTAACAGGGCAGTGGTATGCGTTACATCAAACATTTGTTTTACATCTGAAAACCCGAGAAATGGAAATTAATAGCTTCACGCAGGAATGGACTTACTCATGGGAGACCAGCAACGCTGAGCACACCCGCGATGACTCATTTTGCTTCAAATTCATTTCTGTGATGGAAACACAAAAAGTGATTTCAAGAAGGAAAAATCGGTTGCACGGAAATCTGGCAAGTTTTCGCAAGAACTGAATTGCTCTTTTGTTTCCTGACCTGCGGTATGAGGTTGTCAGCTGAAACTGGGTCTCTGCTGCGTCAGCACAGCGACAGGCCTGCTGAGAGGCGGAGGAGGCCGCGCGTCCGGTAATGGCCCTGCCCTTGGACTGCACACCAAGGAGAGGGGAAGGCAGGCCCCCCAAGGCCGGGGTGCTGCCAGCTCAGCGGGGTAGGGGAGATTCCACGGGGAGGGTTCTTAAGGCAGAGGCGGTCCAGCACGAATCAGGACCAAACTTTCATTCAGTTGTCATCAAGATTAAAGAAACCAGGAGGAACAATGAGTTCAACCAATGAAGGCTTTTTAAAAAAAAACAAAAACCCGGGCTTCCCTGGTGGCGCAGTGGTTGAGAGTCCGCCTGCCGATGCAGGGGACGCGGGTTCGTGCCCGGTCCGCGAAGATCCCACGTGCCGCGGAGCGGCTGGGCCCGTGAGCCATGGCTGCTGAGCCTGCGCGTCCGGAGCCTGTGCTCCGCACCGGGAGAGGCCACGGCAGTGAGAGGCCCGCGTACCGCAAAAAAAAAACAAAGAAAACAAAAACAAAGCAACTCAACCGATCTCGTCCATTTGCATAGAGGCAGTCCAGAAGGAACTTGTCCTGTGACCCGCCCTTAGCCCCAGGCCTGGCACGTGTCCTGCTCTGTTTAATAAACGATTGTTGAGTGATGTGAAGCCAAGGCAGAGCTAGGAGTAAGAAAATGCCTCGGGTGACAAGGCCAGCCTACCAGCAGCATTCTGGTTTTTGAGAGGAATGGGCCAGATGTGGGACCCTAACGATCGACGCAGATAGCAGGAGCTGTAAGCTTCTCTGTAGCCTGAGTGGAGTCTTTGGGAGGATCTCAGAGGGGTAGGGGGCAAGGAGGGTGGAGGGCCTGGGGTGGAATGTCATAACAGCCACTGTTAGCAAAATGGATGGAAGAAAATGATCTTCTTGGCCCCCTTCCAGCCAGACAGCCCCAGCCTGCTGTTAGCTCCCTGCCACCAGCCACAGAGAGGCTTTGTCCTCTGCCGCCCCGCACTCTGGGAGGGTTACAGCCCCTTTATGAAATAATATGGATGGTTACTGAGTAAGGTCCTTCAGCCAACACTTTGCAAATCTTAAAGCTGCCTGTTGGAAACCGAATATATTCCCCCCCACCAGAGTTAAATGAATCAGGCATTGCTAGAAGGCTCCCTCTCTTACCCCCAGTACAGAAATGACACATATTTTTTTGAGCTCTCCTAGGATCATGTAAATCAGAGGGCACTTAAGTTGTTCCAAGGGCTAGAGGAGAGAATGTCAAAACCAGGAAGAGGAAAGTGGTTGAAAATGGTTGAAAATCGGCAAATTCCTCCTGTTGGTAAATCAGCTACCATTTTGCCAAATGCCAGTGAACAAAATATTCTAGAACAAAATATTCTAGAAGGAGGCAGCTCCAGCTCCCTCTCAGATCCAGCCGTAGCTCTGGGTGCCTCATAGCTCTGGCCACTTCCCCCAGGGAGGGGGAGGGCCGTGAGCAGAAGGACCGATGTTATAGAACACACAGAGCCTTGCCTCATGGATGCTCAGCCAAAGCTCAAAAAAGGCGGGAGGGATCCGTCCTCGTCAGATCTGGGGAAAGTCACGGGAAATGTTTGGCCCTCGGGGAGTCACAATACCTAGTGATGTATAAAGGCCCTGAGGATTCCTTCACCAGGAAAAGCTCCCTTGGAGCTTGCTAACAGCGTTTTGCGGGTCACAGAGAAACAGGCACCGGGAGACAGGGTCGGGATGCTGTAGCGGCGTTGGGGGTGCTCTAGGCAGAGTCTCCAGGCCGTTGCAGGGTCCCTTTCCCAAGGCCCTTTTAGGAGGGTTTCCTGGGGGAGGCATGTTTTTGACTGGAGGAGCATCTTCTTGGGTGTCTCTGACTCTGGAGACCCAGGAGGGCCTAAAGGTTCAGGTGGGGAGTTCAAAATAGACAATTCTGGAAGTCCCACAGAGCCCTTCCTTCCTGGGGTCCTGGAGTCAGAAAAAGTGTGAAAGGGAATCTTTGATCTCCTTCTGGATCAGTGCCGGTTTAGTAGACAAAAGCGCAACCCACAGATGATATTTTAAATTTCCTAGTAGCCACGTACGCTTGAAATTAAGGTTAATAATATATTGTATTTAAAGCAATATATCGAAATAATCTTATTTCAACAAGTATTCAGTAAAAATTATTAATATTTTGTTTTGGGGATTTTTTAAAGTAAGTTTTCTAAATCCAGTGTCTGTTTGACGCTTAAATACATCTCAGCTCAGACCAGGCACAATCCAAGGGTCCAGTGGCTGCAGGTGGTGATGTTTCCAGATGGGACAGCCCAGCCCTGGATTGGTACAGCTTCTGCATGAGACAGGAAACGGGTTCCGGGTTTACCCTGCCCTGTGGAAGTATTTGGGTTAAATTGTGATTTCCTCTCTGAGATGGTAAATTTTGTGTCAACTTGACTGGGCTAGGGGAAGCTTCATTAGCTGGTCAAACATTATTTCTGGGTGTGTCTGTGAGGGTATTTCCAGACTATATTAAAATCTGAACCTGTGAAATCAAAACTGCAATGGGATGTCACGTCACACCGGTCAGAATGGCCATCATCAAAAAGTCTACAAATAAGAAATACCGGAGAGGGTGTGGAGAAAAGGGAGCCCTCCTACGCTGTTGGTGGGAATGTAAATTGGTGCAGCCACTATGGAGAGCAGTATGGAGGGTCCTTAAAAAATAGAGCTACCATATAATACAGCAATCCTGGGTATATATCTGGAAAAGACAAAAACTCTATAATTTAGAAAGATACATGCACCCCTGTGTTCATAGCAGCACTATTCACAATAGCCAAGACATGGAAACAAGCTAAATGTCCATCGACAGAGGAATGGATAAAGAAGATGCGGTGTATGTATACAATGAACTATTACTCAGCCATAAGAATGAAATATCACTATTTGTAGCCACATGGATGGACCTAGAGTTGATCATACTAAGTGAAGTAAGTCAGAGAAAGACAAATACCCTGTCGCTTATATGTGGAATCTAAAAAATCGATACAAATGAATTTATTTACAAAACAGAAACAAATAGAAAAACTAGAAAACAAATTTATGATTACCAAAGGGGAAAGGGGGGAGGGATAATTGGGAGTTTGGGATTAACAGATACTCACTACTATATATAAAATAGATAAACAACAAGGACCTACTGTATAGCACAGGGAACCATACTCAATATTTTGTAATAACCTGTAAAAGAACCTGAAAAAGACTAGATATATGTATGTGTGTATGTATAAGTGAATCACTTTGCTGTACACCTGAAACATTGTAAATCAACTAGACTTCATAAAAATACATCTGAATTGGTGGACTGAGTGAAAGACCACCCTCCGCAGTGCAGGTGGGCGCTGTCCAATCCCCCGAGGGCCTGGGTGGAGAGGGAAGGTGGGGGGAGGAGACCTTGCCGTCCGAGTGAGCTGGGTGTCCATCCCCTGCCCTCGGTCCTCCAGATTCCATCCAGAACTTACACCTTCAGACTCGCCTGAGTTACACACCGGCCTCCTGGGTCTCCAGCTCGCAGACGGCAGACCGTGGGCCTTCCCAGCCCCGTCACGGTGTGAACCCATTCCTGTGATAAACCCCGTCTGTATGTCTCTGTATATCCTGTCGGTTCTGTGTCTCTGGAGAATCCCGGCCCACACCCTCTGTCCTGGGAAATCACGAGGCCGAGAACCCTACCCATCACGGAGTCCTCCAGGAGGCCCCAGCATTTAATCACCGTGTGGTCACCAGACACATTGGTCCTTTGCTTTCCCGAAAGTCTCCTGTGACCTGAGTCCCCAGCATCGCTGCTTCTTCCTGGCACACGTGTGGTGAGCAGGCTCCCCTCTGACGAGCCGTGTCTGTCTGTCTGTCTGTGCAGCTGATCCCCACCCCCTTGGCTCTCTGACCTTTGACATCGATGGTCTGCATGGAACAGTCACTTTTTCTTCTCAGTTTGATCCAGGAAACAAAACGTGCTTCAAATTGGACAGACTTGGGTCTAAGTCCCATCAGGGGGTGAGTTTGGATGTGGCCAACTCCTCAGACATCCACTGAGTGGCCTCCACGTCCCAAGCCCCAACTCAGGTGTCCTCCTGGGGCAGAGTGAGGGCAGCCGGTTCTCCCTGGGACCCCTCCCTGCCCATCCGTGGAAGCACCTGGAACTCGCAGGCACTGCCCCGCGGTTGGGGGCCGTCAGAGGCAGGGCTCGGCTAAGCGGGTCTGGGGCGGGCTGCTCAGCACCTACCCCCATCCCCTGAATTTCTGCCTTGCTGTCTGCCTCCGGGGGATGCAGGCCTGCCAGCAGGGCAAGGAGCCACCCAGCCACACTCCCCGTTCCCCACCCACCGGTTCCTGCCACGTTTACCAAGATGCGCCCTCCCCCAGGATCCTACAAGACCAAGTTGCTGATCAGTTTATGTTCTGGTTTTCCTTTTGGCAGCATGAGGCCCCAGCCTTCCAGGGCTGTCTGGAGAGAAACATGCTAACGCTGGGAAGAAGTCACTTCGGGGCAGTGCGGGGATGGCGGCGACCCAGCGATCCAGGACCTGGGCAGCAGAGGTCCTGGCCCCAAGACCTCCAACAAGCCCTTCCTGCTCTGCGGTTCCGGAATGAAAGTGCCACGCGATGGACTTAAAGGCGTTCCATTCACAAGGCCAGACGTCTGAGCAGCCAAAGAGGCCCAGCCTGGTGCCGACCGTTCTGAGCTCCTGCAGGCCTGACCTCGACGTGCTGCGTGACCCGGGTTCCAACGGGGCGCCAAGGATCTGCCACGCTGTCCAGAGGCTTTGAAGCGGCAAGAACGTTTGCAGCTCATGCAGCGGCTCCCCATTCCCCTCAGGAGTCTGGTCCAGCCCTACCCCAGGACCCGCCAGCCCCCTCCAGCTCACATCCGGCCTCGTTGGCCACTTTTCTCTTACAAGTCTCTCCAAAGGAGGCTGGGGAAAGGGAGATACAGGGAAACGCAGTGACACAGCTACCTTCTGACAGGCTTAAAAAGATGGTTGGGTGAAAAGTCTAAAATGAAGGGCTGAAAAAATTTTATCTCGGCGCAAGTGGTCTTCGATGAACCAAGTCGTGACTGGACCCTGGAAGGGGGCTCCGTGCCTTTCTGGGGGCGGCCCCGCCTGGTGAGTGGTGACAGGAGGGGGGCTGGGGGGGTGGCAGCCAAGGACCTCCACCCTCCCCCATCTGCCTTATCTGTTTATCAAACGCTCATACTTTCTATATGAAAGGTAGTTATTTCCGTGCAGAGACTGGTTTTTTTAACACAGCATCCAGCGTTTTGTGACTTCCTGTCTTCTGACAGTGTGGTTTTGGGGAGTTTCCCCCACTTTCGTGAGTGCTGACTCTGCCGAGTCAGGTCGAGGCCCGGATCCACGGGCTGAGTCCCGGGAAACCTCTGGGGGAGTAAGGCTTCTTCGGGGCCTGCTCCCTGCTCCCACCTCAAGGAGTCACAGAGGCTCTTGTCTCTGAGGACAGAGCCTTGCTGGGTGGAGGGGAGGCTCCAACGAGAGACCCCGCTACCTGCTGTCTGCAGGGAGGGGAAGCCTGTGACTGCCCCACACGAGGGGGCTGGACCAGCACGTGCATCCTTTAGACCTCATCCCAGAGCATCACCTCCCTTCTCTCCCCTGACTTTACATCCTTGAAGAGCATGTGGCCAAGAAAGTGGGTCTTGGCTCTTCCCCTTCGGAAGGAGGAGAAAGGAAAAAGCACACACCGCCAAGCAGGCCGCGTCCGCCCCCCGCCCTCCTTCCTGCTGCCCTGGAGCTGGCGCCGCCGTGCCGGCCGTGGCCCTGACGTTCCCGCAGACCCAGGCAGTCCGCTGATGTCACCAAGGGAGCGTGTGCTCTGAAAGCGTCCATCTCTCAAGTTCCATGGGAATGTCACTGGAAAGCAAGGCCAAGGTCAGGAACCCTTAAAGAAACTGCACAAACAAGGCTGTGGGTTTTGGAAGACAGAATAGAAACACCCAGAGCAGTCAGTGCAAGTCCTACTGTGGGTGACCAGCCCGCCTGCGGCCAGGGGCCAGTGCGCAAGGCTGAAGAAGCTGCAGAAGAAGGGCTTCTCCACACCCCGATTTGTTCAGAGGGAAATTAGGGAGCCCCAAGGTGCTGGCTCTGACTGGACCCAGCCTCAGGGAATCCGAGGGGCTCATATTCCGGAGCTGCCAGGGGTGTCTTGTCCTCACGCTGAAGATGGAGGTGACACAGTCAGAAGCAGAAGGACAGGCAGGATTACTTGGTGACCATGGAAATAACAGGAAGGATGCCTGGAAGGAGCAGTAGCGCTGGGAGGGATGGTCGTTTGTTCATTATTCTAGAAGGTTAATGGATGACTGCCCTGGCCAGGCCAAGTGTTGCGACTCAGGGTACACCGTGGGCAGTGCCAGCCCCTCTGGGGCTTACGCTCCAGGAGGGGAGGTCAGGGGTCACATCTGCCTACAGGGGTGTGGAGGGCACAGCCCAGCGACAGAAGCCACCAGCGCTTGTGACGCTCATAGGACAACTGGGCTCTCCATCACCCCAAGCGGTGGGTGATACAGGATGTAGACATTCCAGGCCGTGGCTGGTCCTTGGGTTTGGGCGCAGATGTGGGGCGAGCGAGGGGCAGGGGGGTGGACACAGGGTAGCCCTGTCTCTCCATCCACACCCGTTGGGCCCGTCTACAAGATGAGATGTGCTCACGGATCCATCCGCTTCAACAATTCTAGAGAAATTCAGGAGCGATGGACCCGTAAGAAGGAAATGAGGGAAAATGAGGCATTCCAGGATCGTTTTCAAGTTGTTTCATTTGTTGTACAAAGTAATCAACACCCCGCTTAGGATCCCTACCAGGCCTCCGCTTCACCTCGGAGGCCCCCAGCTGGAAGCATGTCTCTGCCTTTCAGGAAAGCGGAGGTCCTGGGTGTCATCAGGCTCAAGAACCTCCCCGGGTGCTGGCCGGGCATTGGGGCAGCCCGTCCCCGCCTCACGCGGACATCAGGGTGAAGGGCGCCCTGAGGCACAGGGTCAGAGCAGAGAGCCTGCGCGGGCGTCTGGCCCTCCTGCTGCCCGGCTGTGTGAGTCTTGCCTCTGGACACTGGATCTCCAGCATGCGCTGGCTTTCCAAGGCAAGCTTTCAGAAACCGGAGCGTTTCCTCTGATGACCTTAGAGAAACGGAATCAGCCTGGAGGAAAATAATAAAGATCTTTTTAAGATGATGAGAAAGGACAGAATACCTTAAAAATAATAATATTTTACTTAAAATACGGCTGCGTCAGAAATGTGAGAAGCTACAAAAGCCACTCAAAAGTGACAGGGCAGTCAGGAAGTTGTATAAGTAGTTAGTGACGCAGTTGTGGTGTTTAAAATGCCCCTGGGTCTTGGAGTTATTGGAATCAACTTAGATTGAATCTAGCCTGAATCAGATTTTCCTCCTGAGGTCAATCTGCTACATCTCTAACCTAAAAGCAGAGGCTTTGGGAGTTCTCAGGAAATGATGGCTAAGTGACTAAGTGCTACTCTTGGTAACGCATCTGCTCCTCTCAACCAGTTTCTCGTACTTGAAAAAAATTTTCTTTTCTCCCTCTGCCCAAAACATGTAGCCAACCTCTTGAAGATTTAATTTGCATTTGTCAAAGGTTTCAAAATGACACCTAAGGCTTCTCTTGCCTTTGTTGAGGGCTCCAGCCAGTATTTTGACCATCCGTTTCCCGTCTCTTCTGAAATGGCCTCACCAGCTCCCCTCCAGCCTATGCCTCACCCCACCTCGCCGTGTGCCCACCAGGACGACAGAGTCGAGGCAGAGAAACGGCCCCACCGTCTTCGTGGCCTCAAAGCGCGAGCCGTCTGGGGCACGATGTGTGTGGCTGCGTCTAGGGTAAATCCCTGCGACAACAGCAGATGCCGGGACTTCCTTTTTCTCGTAGATCAGAAGGTCGAGTATTCAGAGTAGGGGCCCGACCACAGGGCACATCTACCAAGGTAGCTTCATGGAAGGGATATGCCTGCGATGTTCACTGCCAGATGCAACTGTGTACCCGCTGCTTGAAGTCCGTCTTCTGCTCAGACGCCCCATCCAACGTACACACGTGGACACGCACACACTCACACACTCCCACACCTCTACCCAGCACACACTCACATGCACACACACGTACACACACACAGACACACACACTCCTTTCCACTTACAGCCCAACTTCATCCTCCTGTTACTGTATCTCACCCTCTTCTTTCCCTTGTTGGGTTACCCTTAGGAATAAGACCTGCCTAGACGTCTTCAAGCCTGGGTGGCCCAGCTAATGAGCAGCGTGGCTGAGAAAAGGTGATTCCCAGTTTTATGATCCTCAGACCCTGGGATCCAGGGTTCCCTCCCCCAGTGTTACCATTATCTTCCAGGGACCGGACAGAAGCTTGGCGTTCTCCCGGGCCATCACCCTTTCCTATTAAAATAGAATCTTAGCTGGTCTCCTTGCCCCTGGCGTCTGTTCACAGAAATCCCCCTCCTCTGTGCCACCAGATGGGCTTCTAAGTTACGACGTCTCTGGTTGCTTCCTACCCAGCTATCCAGGGCTCCCCATTCCCCACAGGGGAGAGTCCCTTGGGGGCTCAGTCTGGCTTTCGAGACCTCTGCCATGCAGCCGTGTCTCCACTAAGGCAGTGTGGTCAGGGAGTAAGAGCAAACTTTCTAGATCAAACTGAGCTGGGTTTTTTTTCCCAGTTCTGCCACCCACTGACTGGGAACTTTGGGCAAGTCTTTTAACTCTCCGAGCCCTGGGTTTCTCATCTATAAAGTAGAAACAGCCACTATTATCGAGGGCCGCCTGAACGCGAGGGCACAGGCTGAGCTCTTGTGAAGGGCTGCCCCCACCAATGTGGCCACTGCCAAGGTCAGAGTGTGTTCTTATTGCCGCAGTGTTTTCAGTGGATGTAAGCAGACTCTGGTGGGAGTTTATAGGTCACCCCACCTCACCCTTTCTGGGTGGGAAGTTACAGTGACAGCAAATGGCAGACTGACCTCTGAGCAGGCCCCCAGCAGGCCCGCCTCTTCCTGAGATGCACCAGGAAAGACAGGCGCCGCCCACGAGGAGTTCTTGCCAGAACTGGGTCTGAATCTGGTGGAGCCGACGGCCCCAACTACCCGATCCTGCAAACCTGGGAGAGAGTGTACGAAAGGACCCCAGGAGGATGCGGTCGGCAGGGCCCCAAATAGAGGGAATGTTGCATAAACTGAGCTGAGTCGTGCATGGGTTTCCTCTCTGAGCAGAGGACACCTACGTCAAGTTGCCGTCACCACCACCTCCACCGCTGAAGTTGGGAGAGGCCGGAGAAGCGTCTAAGGCTGCCCCCACTAGGAGCTCCCATCCCTGCAGGCTTGTTCTGTCCTGGCTGTGTCACAAGGCTGCATCCATGCCAAGACGGTGCCTGAACACCCTCCACGTGCCAGACTCAAGTCAGAGCCCAGGATGCTCCAGCGAGAGCGGTGGCAGGGGGATACCTGCCCTCGAAGAGCTTATGGTCCACCTTGTTCCAGAAGCAAGGAAGCCCAGAGCTGATGGGGAGGGAAATACGGCCATGAAGCGGGGGAGAGCTGTGAGGAAGTCTTTGGAGGGACACTTAGGGACAAACAGAAATGCTGTGGGTCTGGGTTAGCTTTTGTATTTTAAGAGTTGGGGGAGGGACTTCCCTGGTGGCACAGTGGTTAAGAATCCGCCTGCCAACTCAGGGGACACGGGTTTGAGCCCTGGTCTGGGAAGATCCCACATGCCGTGGAACAACTAAGCCCGTGCGCCACAACTACTGAGCCTGCGCTCTAGAGCCCGCGAGCCACAACTGCTGAGCCCACGTGCCACAACTACTGAAGCCCATGCGCCTAGAGCCCGTGCTCCGCAGCAAGAGAAGCGACCGCAATCAGAAGCCCGCGCACCGCAACCAAGAGTAGCCCCCGCTCGAAGCAACTAGAGAAAGCCCGCGTGCAACAACAAAGACCCAACGCAGCCAAAAATAAATAACTAAAAAAAAAGAGTTTGGGGGGCAGATTTGTCAACATCTGTCCGTCCTCAGTAATGCACTTTGGTAAAATGGAAAAAAGTCTCTCACGTCCACCACGGATTATCAATACAAATACACTTAGTTTTATTGT